GGACTCCCACATCAGCCTGATCGATGTAGCATTCTGGGTGCAATTCGCTCAATTCTGGTAGCATGACCAACTGATCCCGCAAATGTGTCAGCGTCTTGCTCCCTTCATGTATGTACACTCCTGGCTCCAAGTCCAGGTCCTCCGCGCTAACCCTCATACAGCGTTCGTATTCCATCTCCAACTTCTCGAGTGGTGTCCAGGACGCTGGTTCTGAGGAAGATCCTGAAGTATCCTGTTCAGGGTGTACCTCCGCGAGCGATTCGCCGCCCTGGAATTCCTCGAATTCAGTAGTCCATTCTGAAGGCTTATCCACAACAGTATCACTTCGGCCATCATCCAGGGTGTTGCCATCACCAGGATCACATCCAGGATTGTCTAGTTGACTTTCGCTGACTTGTGTGGCGACACCCATCCTGGTTGTCCTCGCGGAATCTTCTTTCGTCTGCGTACTTGCATCCATCAACTCTCCACGATTCAACATCTTGAAACACGGGGGGGGGTCTTGCAGCTGAGCCATCCTGACTTCAGCAGACCCTGGTTGAGGCCTTAGCATGATCTTGGTTGGCCATTGGTATTCCATCTTCGGCACGCACGGTGGTTCTCGGTCTCGCAGTGCGTGTTCTCTTCTCTCGGCCCTGAGCCTGTCTTGTTCTGACTGGGCGTGCTCCAGGATCAGTGTCTGCCATTCACGATAAGCTCGTGTTCCAGGGCGGACGAAACGCCCGGCCTGCGGAAACAACCCATACTGCACGATCCTGGCTAGCGGTGTTCTCATATCGATCCAGACACTGTGTTTCGACACATTCACGACTTTGGTCGCTACTGGCCAGGATCTGGCCTGATACACGATCTTGGTCACCCACCTGTCACCTCGTCCAGCCCAGACAACTTCTCGTTCTGGATTCGTATGTCCATATTGGATACGCACTACCGCGTGCTCTCCGGGCATGAGATACAAATTTTCTGGGGACGTGACGGGCAAGTCCACACTCTGGGGTACTCTGACATTTTCATCGTACATCAGGATAGACTCCTGATCTGGAAGCTTCACCAAACCTTCTCGAACACAGACGCGCACTCCTGCACAAAACATGAAATCCATGCCCAGGAGCACATCCAATCCTTCGC